TAATTTGAGGGGATGCCCTTACTGTACTTTATGGAAATCTGACTGTGGTTACCCCAAGCACTGTTTCTTAGATTTTGTTTATGTTTTGTTTTGTTTTTTGGGTTACTGTTGTTTTTGTTCAGAGATCCTTTCTGCTCCTGAAATCTACCTTCGTAGGTCCAGTTTGTACTTGGCTGAGAGCTGGCACTTTTCAGGATGTACGCTTCTCACTCCGGTCCCATGAGGTGAGGATGGGTGTCCACCCACAGTGATCTGGTTTCCAAATTGCAGCTAGACTGAGAAGATTCAAGAGCTACAAACACCCTCATAGCCTTCCTGGTTCTGCTTTGAGACATCTGACGCTTGTGCATTGTGGTGACTGGAACAGGATGAGTCTTAACTCAGCTGAAAGAGCTGCTTATTCACACTGAGTGACTTCTGTAGCCACACGTGGCCTCCGCTGCTAGTGACGGTACCCCGACAAGTAGTGCTTTTTGGAAGTGACTGAACCTGAAAGTTTCTGGCCAACTGATGGACAGAGGTGGGAGCATCATTGGTACCCGAGATAGAGAATTGTGTGATAAAGCTCGTGACTTTTGCAAGCTGTTGTTCCATCTCTGTGATGAAATTTATTTTCATATACCTTGTGCCATAATCTAGGGGTCCACGTTGCAGCTAAAAGTAGAACCAAGTCTTGGAACATTTTCAGTCCCGAGAGATGTAAAGGATGCCAGCAGTCCACGTCTACAATCTCAGTAGTGCGGAGTTATGGGTAAGCTCCAGAGGTAAGAAATGGCCACATTCCCCAAGAATTCACAGTAGCCTTCGTCTTTCTGAGATAAAGAAAGGATTTGTGCAGGGGCTGCGGGGTGGGGGCTATGCTAGGAGACCGCGATACAAGACTAGGCTAAGTCCCGGGCTGAAGGCGATCGTTACCTACACGAGTTCCCCCTCCCCCTACATCAGGTTTAGCTGCTCCCCTGCAGAATCGCTCACGTTTCCCTCTTCTCCTGAAAGCAGCACTTTCGGATGGGTTAAGACTCATCCTGTTCCAGTCACGTGTACTGATGACTCTGAGGTTAATCAGCTTGAGACACATGGTCCATTTGGGAAAACAGGCTGCAATCGTTTGGAGAGAAGTTTCTAGATCTTCTTCTTTTTTTTTTCTTTCTTTTTTCTTTTTCTTTTTTTTTAATTGGAGGAACTGGAGAATGAACCCAGGACCTCATGCACGCTGAGTATGCGCTCTACCATCGAGCTCTGTCCACCCACCAGATCTTTGGAGAATATTTAAGTAGCTGAGCCAAAAGCCCGTGCCGTCCCACCCGTCCTAGGTGAGTTTGCTGCAGAAGCCACGAGGGACGTTTATCTTGGCACTTCTTTGTATCGGTGACTGAGAAAACAACCCTTAAGCCGCAGAGCGTTGCACGCTCTCCCTGAAGGAAAAGGCTTGCTTTATCTAAAATTTTCCATTGTATCCGGGAGCAAATCTGCATCGTAGCAATTTGCTCTTTTCTGCTCCAGGGACTGAAAAGCACACACAAGCTTGAGCTACTGTAGCTGCTTCTACTGAACGTGCCCTTGTCACTGACATACATATAATTCTTTTTTCAAGATTCCAAGATGAGGGAAATTTGCCTTTAATTGTTTCATTGCATTACTGTAAGGCCAGGACCATGAAGGTCCCTCAGCTTCGGTACTGCTGACGTTTTGATCTGGATAATTCTTTGTTGTGGGGCCGTCCTGTGCATGATGGGGTTTTTATCAGCATCCCTGGCCTCTGCTCACTAGTGTCCCCCGCTTCCTCTGTAATCCTCGGTTGTGATAACCAAAGCCATCTTCAGACATTGCCCAGCGTTCTCCGGAGCTACCGTTGCCCCCAGTGAAAACCACGGCCCTAGAGATAATGAAGATCGTTACTGATGCTCTAGGCACATTTCATGCTCTCAATGCATCTCTATTTAAAGAACGACACAAACAGGTTTCTGGGAACTTGTGCA